TTAAAAACACTTGACACTGTCTTCCAGTTACTCAGTGACAGAGGGTGATCAACAAGATTCATCTGTGGCCTTCCGCGCTTTGGCGAGGGTGTGGCCCAGGGAGAGAGGCAGTTGGTACAGGTGCTCAGGCAGAACCCTGGCGCTTCTGCTGGTCAGAAGGGCGATCCTAACACGGTTTCAGAGTGGGAAGACAAAGGAAGAAGCAGGAAAGGATCTTCCTGATACAAAGAACTCTGCGGAGGGGCTGGGCAAAGGTTTTCTAAAAAGCCAGGGTCTCCTAGGGATGGACCTGCTGCACAGCCGGAGTCTTTTTTTTTTTTTTTTTTTGGTAAGTATTCTTTGGCTGTACTTTTTGTTGATTAAACAGATGCCCCTCCTAACCCACTTGTACCTTTGATTTTGCTACTTGTCTAGTTTTTAGAGATTACTGAGGATTATTCAAATGACTTCTGGCCACTGGAGTTCAACGTGTTATGTACACTGGAAGAAATCGTATTGTTTTGGAACCTTTTCCACTCACACATGGATCTTTTTTAGCCCAAGTTTTCAGGTGTTGTCCATATCTTGGGCCATAGCAATAACACTGCCCTAAATAAGATAAAGTCACAAGCATTGGAGAACGGCATTGTGGACCAATGTCACCGATCATTTATTTTGAGATGTGACTGGAGAGCAACACCATATGAGCAAGAAGACCTGGAGATAACTTCTGTGTTATCAACTAAACTAACAACAAAGAAAGTGGACTTAAGATAGTCCTTACCTTCCTTCAAAGCAGCTAATCAAGGCTGGTAAACAGCACGCTAATCTCATCATCAATATCTAACTGCTGCTGCTTACTCCCAAAACTGTTCTGAGCTGAGGAATTTAAAAGAAGAGGACTTAGTGGGGACAGAAAACTACTCTAGTTTTTGGGGAAATAGTTTAGAGGAGATTGGCTCCTCCGTGGGCTGGGAGTAAGGCTGCGGACGAAGGGGAGTGAGAGAAGGGGGCAAGAAGCTGAACAAGACCAGGTCCCAGGAGCCCCAGGCAACCCGCAATGCTGCTGGCAAGTGGAGGGCAGAGAGCAAGGTCATGGCGTGGCTCCCACATTTCTCAGTGAGGACATCACCTGAGCTTGTGGAAGCCGGCTCAGCACAGCGCTGCTGGGAGAGGCCACGTGCACTTGTTCAACAAGTATTCTCTGAGAACCTGACAGGCTGGTGCTGGCCCACGTGAGGGGCACCTGGCAGCCCTACGGCTGACTGGGAGAGTGGAGGAGTTAGCATCTTGTAAGGTCTGTTGGTAAAGCCGGGAGGAAGGAAAACGGAGGTGGCAGGATTCACAGGGATAAGTGCGGGATTTCTTTTAGGTGCAGGGAGAACTGAGTGTATGGAGACACTGATATGTGCATCAAGACCAGGGACTTGAAGGAGAGGGGGGAGATAGGCTAGGGGTCTTTGGAAAGAGAGGAAAGAGCATCAGTGAGAGAGGTCCTGGGGCCGGGAGGAGGCAGGGTGTGGGGGCCAGCCAGTGCCAGGTGGCCTTCTCTGCCAGCTTCTGTCTGGAAATGCGAGCCAATCCCTACCCTGGAGAGCTGTAGGATCCTTAAGGCCCTTACCAGGGTGCCTGGTGCACAGGGGCCCTAGCAAGGCTTTAATGTGCTTAAAAATGTTGTAATTAATTAATCATTTCTTATTAATTGAAAGCGAGGGGGTGGGGACAGAGAGATCTTCCATCTGCTGGTTCACACCTCCTTAATTCCATGCAACAGCCAGGACCAGGCCAGGCCAAAGCCAGGAGCACAAAACTCAATCTGGGTCTCCCATAGGAGTGGCAGGGACGCAGGTACTTGAACCACCCGCTGCCTCCCAGGGTGCGTATTAGCAGGAAACTGGAATTGGCTGTGGAACTGGGGCCCAAGTGCGTGAGCGTCCCAATCTGCGTCTCAACTGCTTGCCCCGTTCTACTAGAGAACTGACAGACGGGAGAGCAGAGGTGGGTGCATGGGTCTCAAGACTGCGGATGGGGCAGGTAACTCCCAGTGTGGGTGGACTATAAGTGGAGAAAAGCAGGACAAGGGAGAAGGAATGAACCCTTCCCTCTCCAGGAGGCTGGGAGGGACGCCTGGAGGGCATTGACTATCATTCCTTTCTCTCACTGGCCATCCCCAGGCGGTAGGCTCAGAAGTATGATACAGTAATGTCTCCCAGGCCCCACATTTCTCCTTAGAGATTGCCTGAAATTAAAAAATTTAGTAAGAGCTAATAGATAATGATCCTCAAAGAAGGGGCATGGAAAAAGTCTATAACTATTTCATATTTTAGAGTGGATTAGCTGATATGTTGGGTTTTATTAAAAACAACAACAAAACCTTGCTCAGGGCCAGCACTGTGGCATAACTGGCTAAGCATTCCATACAGAGGTAGGTTCAAGTCCCGGCTGCTCTACTTCCTATCCAGCTCCCTGCTGATGTACCTGAGAAAGCATCAAGGAAGGCCCAAGTGCTTGGGCCCCTGTACTCATGTGGGAGACCTGCAGGAAGCTGATCCTGGCTCTGGATCAGCTCAGCCTCGGCCACTGAGGCCATTTGGGAAGTGAACCAGCAGTTGGAAAACACCTCTCTCTCTCTCTGTAACTTTCAAATAAATAAAATAAATCTTTAAAAAAAAATGTTGAGGAAGTGAGAACTCTGCCAAGTACGACCTGAAGAGAGAGGTCAGGCAGCCTTACGGGGACAGAGCTGTCGTCTGGTAGCGAGGGGATCCAGGATCAGGGTGGCAGGGTGTCAAGGCACAGGAGATGGAACAGAGCACGTGGATGCAGGTAGGAAGACGAGAGGGAGGTGGGAAAGTTTCCAAAGAGAGCAGAAGGGCAGACGCTGAAACAGAAGGGTCCATCACTGAGCATCACAGGGGGTCCATTTTCGTGGAAAATGTCTATTATGAAAAAACTACGCATGGACTTCAAACACTTCCATACCAAAATAAACTTACCTTTCCCTTCCAATTTCCATGCATTTTTTGAAGTCCTTGCATAAAAGAGGGAGCTATACTATTTTTTAAAAAAATTATTTACTAATTGGAAGGGCAGAAAGAGAGGGAGCAAACTCTCATCCAGTGGGGCGCTCTCCAAGTGCCTACAGCAGATGGGGCTGAGCCAGAAGTCAGGAACCTGGAGCTCAATCCAGCCACTCGCACGGGTAGCAGAGGCCCCCACTCCTTGAGCCATCACTGCTGCCTCCCGGGGTCTGCACCAGCAGGACCCTAGAGCCAGGAATGGAAGGCGGGGGCTTGATATGGGAGGCAGGCATCTTAACCACCCACCTGCTCCCAAGAGCTGGAATACTCAAGCCCCCCTGTGTTGCCGCCATTGACTTCTGGGGTCCTTCAGAGCCTCTCTGGATTTTACCTTCCCTTTCCCTGGAATCTCCCAGTAGCGTCTCTGATGGTTAGGCAGACATCTAAACTTTGAAGGAAATAAAACAAACCTGGAAGGGCTTTCGCACATCATCCCATTTTGCAGATGAGGAAACTGGAGTTCAGTGGAAGTGACTGCTAAAGATCAGCCAGCCAAGTAGAACCGGAGCGGCCCTGGGTGCTGCCTTGTGCCCGGCTGTCCCCAGCCAGCTGTTCCCGGAGACCTACAGCTTGCAGAAGCCCCGGACATCCAAACAGCACAGCCCAGGTCTTCCTTGGCGGAAGTTAATGATTACAACCTAGTCCCCAGCATCTAACCATAGTTACTAATTAAGCCAGTTGCAGGGAGAAAAACCATTTCAAACTGAAGAGCAGAGTGTTCTCTCAAACCACACCTACAGGCCTTCACAGTATAGTGGCATAAAGTGCTACACTGTTTCAGGTACACTTGCAGATATTCCCCCTCCCATACCTTAACCTCTGTCGTTTTACATTTTCTCTTCACTGCCTGCCACATGCTGGGCCCTTGGATTGAGGAATCCAAGTGAGATAACTCGACTAGGTGTTTGAGTGAGCCAGGTAATAAAATCTGTTTGCTGTGCTGGCTGTCTCCAGATAGGGCTGTAATTACACCACATGAGAAAGAAAGGTAGCCAAGCCCCAATCTAGATCATTTATGTAAACCCAGCCTTCTTGTCAACCATGCTCTCACATTGCATGCGCGTAAACCGCAAAATCATCTCGTGTGAACCACACAGAGACAGGGTCCCGCTGCAGGCCCGCGAGACTGCCTCCTTCCTGTATCCTCTCTGCAGCTGGAAGTCTGTGGTTCAAGACCAAAACTTTCTCCAGTGGAGCCCCGGGTACAACAACTGTATTTCTGAAGCTTGTACAAAATAAAGGGATTCTCTAAACCAAAGTATTGCAAACAAACACAGATCCCCTCGAAGAAGGCTTTTTTTTTTCTTTTCATGAAAAACACAGTTTGGCTCTTTGAAATGTGTTTTTAAAACAATGATCTATAGAAATAAGAAAAACGCAAATTTCCTAATAAAACCAAGGTATCATTTGATAACATTTTAATTTACTAGTGCAAATATTTGGCAACTTCCCAGTAATTTCTGCTTGCCTCCCACCCCCAAGTCTTAGAAAAACCATGAAGCGCAAGGTTTAATCATATTTTTATCTAAAGATGCAGAGACATAATTGCAAGATGGCAAAAGAAGTATTTTTTTTCCGTGATTCATTGAACTGTTCTCCGTTACGACAAACCGGTCACTCGTTTCTGATTCGCTGTCCGCGCTGGCTGGTATGGATGGTGTTCCTCTTGACACCTGCAGCTTCCAGCTTGCTGTGTCCCCCTGGAAGGAAAACCACAGGCCACCGCCCTGGCGCCATCCCTGGCTCGGCCCAATCAATAAGGACTTATTTCCTGTCCATTTGCTGAGGTCACAGGAGCGAATCTCATTAATTATTTCTGCTTCTGCAGCTTCAAGTGTGCTTCTGGCGTGACAAGTGAAAACTGCTTGACCTTTTTTGTTTTTTCTCTTCTATATTTTGTTTGTAGCCGTTCCCATAAGAAGGCAGTGTTCATTTAGCAACATGATAAGAGGGAGGGGGAAAAGGTGTTTTTTTTTTTTTTAAGTCATTAACACATTTAGATTTTTCATCACAAAAGCTGTCCTATCACCTCTTTGCCCAGGTTTGTTCAGCAGAAAGGAACAATGGGGTCTTTTTTTTTTTTTTTTTTTTTTTTTTTAAATTTGGTGTCATGAAAACCTGGTCACGGCAAACACAATGTTTTCTAAAGCAGATCTGGCCTCCGAGGGAGGGAAGCTCTCCAGGGCCGCCAGGGCCTGGTTTCCATGGTAACGACACAGGTCAATAGCCGAAGTCACACCTTTGCCAGCTTTGATTGTTTCTCGCAACTGTTAAGAAACAAACGCACAATAAAAAGTCAATTTTTAAGGGACGCAGTTAGCACCGCAATTACACTGGGGTGGGGAGGTGGGAAACAAAGACAGGGAGAACACCCCCCACCCCCACCCGCCCCGCGCAGATTTCAGGGTTTCTGCTCTGCTCTGTGGAGGAAAAGAGGACGTCATTCCCCAGGAGTCTTCAGGCAGGCGCATTCCCTCGGGCAGCGCTGTGTCCACACCGAGCCCAGCCGCACAACGGGCTGGGGCTCAGAGCATCCTAATTACACCTCCCTGGCTGCCTCCGCTTGATGTCCAGAACTGCTGGGCGGCTGCAAGGGAGGCGGGGCATTTCGTATGCAGCAGCCTGATATTCTGCCATGGGGAAGGCTTCACCAACATCTTAGTGACAAACTTATTTTTTTAAACACCGTATGTTGACACGATAGCCCATCTGAAAATTCAAGACAGACACACAGCATTAGATGTGAACACGATATGGCTAAAATGAAGAGATCAACTTGTTTAGAACAGGGTAAGCAAGCTCTAGTGGAGAAGCCCAGCTGCATTTCCAACCCCGCGCTTAACTGATGGCAAAACTCATCTGTCTGCCCCGTTCTCCGCGCCCCACGTCCATCTTCTTGTCCCCAGGGAGTGCCTCGAATGTCTGCCTAATTCTCCGGAGTCAGAAACCTGCAGTCCGCTTCACTCTCCACTTCCAATCAGGCCAGGCTGGGCCAGGGTTGCTCACCCAGGACTGAATTTCTGGTCCCCAGCGAGTGGGTGGAGCCAGGTGACAGGTGCATCTGTGAGCTGTGCGGGATGCACGCCGCTTCTGGGTGGCAGCACTGCACTGTCCAGCTGTCCCTCTGGCACATCATATGCTGACATCACGGTGGAGGCGCCTGGGCCCCTGGGAGCCTGCGAGGGCCCCACGGTGCCTCTCCCCGCTGCGGGGCACAGGGAGCTTTGCTGTGTTACGCCGCCGCGAGGCTCTCTGCAGCCTCTGTAACTGATGCAGTCCGTGGGTCCCGGGCAATCGTTCCCTTGAGAGCGCTCAGAAACATCCTCGACTCTTCGTTCCCCCTGCCGCTGCCCTAGTCTGGGGCTCAGCGTCCCACGCCTGGGCTATTTTGCGCCGCCATTTCCTAAAGCATCTCCTCATCACCAGTTCCACATGCTTGGACTCCATCGGCCATGCCCGGCTGCCAAGGAGCTCATTATAAAATGCAAATACGATCTTGCTTAAAACCCTCCACTGTCTCCCCATAGCCTTAGGAGAAAAGCCCAAGCGCTTTCATGAGGCAACACAGTCCCTTCCTGGTCCAGCTCTTGTCTTGCCCTATTTTCCCCCTTTCATCATGTATTTAGGGGACTAGTTACAGCTCTCAGAGGTGACCTGCCACCTGCCCTGGGACGACCCCCTGCGCCCCCAAGGCCCCACGTCCTGCCTGGTAGGATCACGGTCGGGGGAGCTAGATGCCCCCTCCCTCTGCATAGCTCGAATCCAGCATTATCACACAGTGCTGTCTTTTCATTCTCCATTCACTTATCCATCTCTATAAGAGACCTGAAGCTATTTACTGCATGATACAGGAAACATAACAAATCAAAGAAATAAGCTGTTCTATTCCTCTAATCATACAATTGGGACAACAGAGGCCCACAGACATTCAGTGAATCAAGATTAGGAATAGAAAGTGGCAAAGTTGAGATTGGGAGGGTTTTTTTTCCCTCTTATTTATTTATTTATTTATTTTTGACAGGCAGAGTGGATAGTGAGAGAGAGAGAGAGAGAGAGAGAGAGAGAGAAAGGTCTTCCTTTTGCCATTGGTTCACCCTCCAATGGCCGCCTCGGCCAGCGCACTGCAGCCGGCACATCGTGCCGATCCGAAGCCAGAAGCCAGGTGCCCCTCCCGGTCTCCCATTGGGTACAGGGCCCAAGCACTTGGGCCATCCTCCACTGCACTCCCTGGCCACAGCAGAGAGCTGGCATGGAAGAGGGGCACGGGACAGAATCCGGTGCCTCGACCGGGACTAGAACCCGGTGTGCCGGAGCCGCTAGGTGGAGGATTAGCCTAGTGAGCCGCGGCGCCGGCCATTTTCCTCTTTTTAAAGATTTATTTATTTGAAAGGCAGAGTGACAGAGAGGGAAGGACAGAGAGAACTCTTCCGCCCGCTGGGTCACTCTCTGAATGGTCACAATGACTGGGGCTGAGCCAGGCTGAAGCCAGGAGCCTGGAACTCCATTGAGGTCTCCACGTGGGTGGCAGGGGTGCAAGTACTTGGGCCATCTTCTGTTGCCTTCCAGGGATCTAGATCGGAAGTGGAACAGCTGGGACTCCAACCAGCGCTCCTGTGTGAGGTGCAGACAACGCAGGCAGGGGCTTAATCTGCTGCATCCCGACTCGGGCCCCAGGGCTGGGCTTTCTAACAACTCATCTGGTGGTGCTTAACGCTCAACTCCCTCAGACCTGCAGCTCTCCAGACATCCCCGCATGGCAGGTGAGCTGTGAGACTGTTTCAGCCCAGGTTTCCCTGGTCTCTTGCCAATCACTGAACGCATGAAGACATGAAAATGGTGCTGAGTACCCAGAGGTGGCCAGATTCAAACTCCATTCTAGCTCTATCATCTTCGGGAAGCCACTTAGTTGCTCTCAGTTCTAAATGAGGACAGAGTGAGTCCCTTGTAAGGCTGGTAGGGTACAAATGAGACAGTGAAGAGTGCCTGACAGTGTCTAAATCCCGACAACTGCTCGGATGCCTTAGCTCTCCCTCCTCAAGCCCTTAGCCATTGCCAAGAAAAACCATCCTGTCCTCCAAGGTCAGGTCTACTTTGGCTTAATATCCAATAACCCCAAAGGTAGTTGAATTGGAGCAGAATAGTCTTAAAGATTAAAAAGAAAGAACACGCCCATATTTTCATTGTCTTTAATCCCCCAAATCTAACGTAGGCCAACATCCTCTCCTGATCCTAGACTTCTAGTTTGGTGCTTGCAAGCATGTGGATGGGACACTCAGTTTACCAGTAACAACTGAGCACCTGCTATGTGTAAGGAGTAGAATGAGCTTGCTCTGCTCTGTGGATTAGCAGCTAATTAAGGGCTGAATGAGAAAGGTAGTGAAGCTAGCTGTTGCGAGGAATGAGAGACTGACTTGAATTGGGAGAGACTCCACAAGGCCTTACAGAGTGGGATTTGAGGCAGGTGTCACGTGTATTGATAAGAAGCCATGCGGCTGGGGAGAGCAAGAGGACTGTAGAGAAAGAGGAGAGACCGGAAAGTGTAGAGTACCCAGGGAGTGAAAACACGCCGAGTGTGACAGATTGCAGGGTCAGGTGTCAGGGGACCCAGGCAGACTCTGGAAGCCACGCTGAGACATTTACATCTCCCCCCAGAGCTATTTTACTATAAAGTATTCTCAGAGTACAGACACGTTGAAAGACGATGGCCCTGGGCTAAATCTAGTAGCTGTTTTTGTAAATACAGTTTCGTTGGAACATAACCACGTCCATTCATTGAAGTGCGGTTGTTTCCATGGCTGCTTTTGTGCCAGAAAGGCAGAGCTGTGGAGCTGAGTGGTTGCCAGAGAGATTACAGCCCTGCAAGGCCCAAAATATATACACTTGACCTTTACAGAAAAAGTCTGCTGACTCCGGGACTAGTACGGTGAATGACCACACGTTCTCTAGTGAGATTCAACAATTGTTAATATTTTGTCATTTTTGTTCTATCTATGCTTGTTTTCCTTTTTCCCCCTGAACCATTTGAAAGGAAGCTGCAGGCAGTGGATGCTGGTAAATTAGCTCTCCAGGGGGAGAAAGCCCTCAATGTAGCATCTGCAGATTTTTGTGGTATAAACACTCCCATCAGGGCAGTTTCAAGCTGCCAACAGTCTTGAGATCACAAACTTCTTGAATATTTAACAGAAGGCTCTGAGTTGCTAGGACTTGGCTGGGACTTCCACGGGCTGAGGGATGCTTTGCCTGTTAGGACATGCATCTCCCAAGGTAAGAACACAGACTCAATACTATCATCATAGCTAGGAAAGCCAGAAAGAAAACTTAATGAGACCATTCTCTAATATTATCTAACATCTCAGTCCATATGCAAATTTCCACCAACTGGTTCCAAAATGTTTCTTTTAGCCATTTTTTTTTCCAAAGCACGATCAATCCCAGTTCACACATCACATTTGTTTGCTATGACAATTTAATTTTCTTTTTCCCCTATGACGTTGTCATTTTGAAAGGGTCAGGTTGTGCTGCAGACGTCTGCTTTTCTCTGATGATTTCATTTAGTTTGTTGCTCTATGAACTTTGTTCAGCTAGGCTAATTTTTTATTTTAGTTTGAAAGAAAGATTAAGAGACAATGAGAGCTCCCAGCCACTGGTTCACTCCTCAAATGCCTGCTGGGAGCCACAGATTCAGTGTAGGTCTCCAACCACCTGAACCATCAACCTGCTGACTCTGAGGGTGCACATTAGTAGGAAGCTGAGATTGGAAGCAGAGCTGACACTCGAATCCAGGCATTCCAAAAATGGGATGAGGGCGTCCCAACCGGTGTCTTAACTGCAAGGCCCGACGCTTGCCCCTCAACTGCATGTCTGACGGTAGCTCCCAGGGATCCCACCCTATGATGATGGGTAATTCATGAGGGCAAAACTGCAACCGGGACATCACTGAGAGCTACCCAAGTCTTAAAAGAGTTCATTTCCACCCATAATGACTATTTGCTTTAGTCAGTAAACAAATCCCGAGTTGGGCTCCAGGCCTTTGCTTGCCAAGAGACCTGCTTCCATGTGTAAAACACCAATTTCATGACTCACCAGCAATCTAATCTTTGGAGGAATGCATTATTCTTCACTGCTGTCTGTAAACAATCCCGTTAGTTAAACCTACATTATTAGCTCAAAGGGAATTACTTAGACATAACTAACAAACCATAAATGAAACTCATTTTTACTGTAGACTAGACCAGGTAACATCTATGTTGACAAGGACGATCTTGTC